GTCATCATATGCTCAAGTGGGTCATCATATGCTCAAGTGGGTCATCATATGCTCAAGTGGGTCATCATATACTCAAGTGGGTCATCATATGCTCAAGTGGGTCATCATATACTCAAGTGGGTCATCATATGCTCAAGTGGGTCATCATATGCCACATTCCCATTCCCAGCCACCGCGGTTCAGTGGCCGCGGTTCCTGTTATGCGTCGTTAAATTCCTATCATTGCAAGGATGCGTCATCCAATTCCCATTCCTAGTACGCGGTGCAGCGCCATTCCCGGAGCCCGCCCCTCAATTCCCGGCAGCCACAACTGCGCCATGGCGTATGGCAGTTAACTGCGCCATGGCATGTTGCAGTTAACTGCGCCATGGCATGTGGCAGTTAACTGCGCCGTGGCGTGTGGCAGTGGTCTGGCAGTTGACTGCGCCATGGCATGTGGCAGTTGACTGCGCCATGGCATGTGGCAGTTAACTGCGCCGTGGCATGTGGCGTGGTCTGGCAGTTGACTGCGCCATGGCATGTGGCAGTTAACTGCGTCATGGCATGTGGCAGTTGACTGCGCCATGGCATGTGGCAGTTGACTGCGCCATGGCATTTGGCAGTTTACTGCGCCATGGCATGTGGCTCAGAGTCACACACACTAATTCTCACCCATTAATTCATAATTCAAATATCAAGACACACATTATTCAGTAAATATGTCACTGCATTCTCATACTATCACTATTCATATGAATATAATCTAATTTTATTGCAATATACTTATTATGTAATAATAAATTGTACGGGATAGAGATTTATAATTATCATGTCTATACTAAGAGGATCTTTTTAACGCTTGTTCTCTGCAGCGAATGCGAGTGCAGGTCTTGCTGCTGCTGCTGTTGATATTGTTGTTGCTGTTGTTGCTGTTGTTGATATGGTTGCTGCTGTTGTTGATATCGTTGCTACTGTTATTGCTGTTGCTGCTGTTGTTGCTGTTGTTGATATCGTTGTTGCCGCACAACGTCCCCTATCAAGCATGCCTCTGCCGTGAATGTAACGCATATATTGCACTGTCATCTTTGCCATAGACCTAGCCTACGAAAATGTATTGCGTAAATTACGTGTCAATCACGACTGTCAGTCACGACTGTCAGTCACGACTGTCAATCACGACTGTCAGTCACGAGTGATTGCCTCAGCAATGTCATTGCTACTTCTGAACTGCCTGTGGCAAGTAATAATTATTTTATTGCTACGATAAAGTAACTTCGGGCACATTTTTACGAAGTCCAGCTTGCATCGAAGCATCGCACGTTTAATTTGGGGGAAATAAACGTGTTTATTCATTTTTAAATAACAGATCGTTACAAGTTACACAAATACAAAGAAAACGATTATAAACAGTATAAATCAATTCATCTATTAAACAAGGTAATTAGTACGGGATGACCGTTGCTGCACCAAAGTACTTATTTGGGGGAAATTTGATTTAATTAATTTAATTTAATTTGGGGGAAATAAAGACGTTTTTCTTCAGTCTGGGTATAGAACCTTGTATAAATAACAGATATTTACAAGTTACACAAATACAAATAATAGAAAACGAGTATAAAAAATCGTTATAAACGATTCTATATAAATCGTTTAATCGTTAATCGTTTATATATAATCGTTTACTCGATTTAATCGTTAAATAACGATTAAATCGTTATAACGATTATAAACGATTATAAAAAAAATAAACAGTATGACTCAATTCATCTATTAAACAAAGCAATTAGTACGGGATGACTAGACCTAAGTACTTACTCTAATAAGAGGTTCTAGTGGTATGAATCTAAATACTAAAACCTGTAATAAAGTTAACTATTGTCGTACCGTGTTGTTGCTGTTGTTGATATCGTTGTTGCCGCACAACGTCCCCTATCAAGCATGCCTCTGCCGTGAATGTAACGCATATATTGCACTGTCATCTTTGCCATAGACCTAGCCTACGAAAATGTATTGCGTAAATTACGTGTCAATCACGACTGTCAGTCACGACTGTCAGTCACGACTGTCAATCACGACTGTCAGTCACGAGTGATTGCCTCAGCAATGTCATTGCTACTTCTGAACTGCCTGTGGCAAGTAATAATTATTTTATTGCTACGATAAAGTAACTTCGGGCACATTTTTACGAAGTCCAGCTTGCATCGAAGCATCGCACGTTTAATTTGGGGGAAATAAACGTGTTTATTCATTTTTAAATAACAGATCGTTACAAGTTACACAAATACAAAGAAAACGATTACAAACAGTATAAATCAATTCATCTATTAAACAAAGTAATTAGTACGGGATGACCGTTGCTGCACCAAAGTACTTATTTGGGGGAAATTTGATTTAATTAATTTAATTTAATTTAATTTGGGGGAAATAAAGACGTTTTTTTCGGTCTAGGTATAGAAACCTTGTATAAATAACAGATGGTTACAAGTTACACAAATACAAATAAATAGAAAACGAGTATAAAAATCGTTATAAGCGATTCTATATAAATCGTTTTATCGTTAATCGATTATATATAATGGTTTAATCGATTTAATCGTTATATAACGATTAAATCGTTGTAACGATTATAAACGATTGTAACAAAATAAATTATGAATCTATTCATCTATTGAACAAATTAATTAGTACCGGATGACCGGTGCTACACCTAAGTACTTAGTACTCTAATAAGAGGTTCTAGTGGAATGAATCTAAATACTAAAACTTGTAATAAAGTTAACTATTGTCGTATTCATTGTTGTGACGTTCATATATAAATAAATCTTATTTTTACAATCAAATCTAATTCTAAATTTCTAAATTTTTTATTATATCAATTCAAAATCCTGAACAATACCGCTAATTCTTAATTTTTAAATATTTTTATTATATCAATTCAAAATCTTGAACAATACCGCTGATTCTTAATTTTTAAATATTTTTATTATATCAATTCAAAATCTTGAACGATACCGCTTCTGCATGAGTAAAATTTTTGCAAATAACGATGTATTTTTTGACCCTTTAGTGAGTCATCCTGACCCAGTTGTGCGCATCAGTGCCACGTTCGCTCTCTGCTCGTGTTGTGTGTTGGACATCGTGTTGCAATTTGGACAATACGAACCTTTAATTATTCTGAGTGTAAATAGAGTGGGAGGAAGAATACATTATTATGAGGAAGAATAAAGTGGTACTTTGGAGTACTTTTTGAGTGGGGAGTAATAAATCCCCATCAATTGAGAGGGAATGAATAAGGGCTTCGAGTGGGGCTATTAAAGGGGAATAGTGCAGCTTACAATCAGAAAAATGGACGGGTCAGCTTGTCCAAATAATGACACACTTTTTACACTCGGTATTGGTAGTTTTTTTTTTTCAAAGCCAAACTGAATCAGGATGATCAACATAAGCGCAAAAAAATGCAACGCAATTTGGACAAAATGTCGCTTATTTCCCTGAGGGAAGCAGAGAGAGAAGGAAGGATAGAGAGCGAGACATATTGATTGCTGCTGCTGCTGCTGCTGCTGCTGCTGCTGCTGCTGCTGCTGCTGCTGCTGCTGCTGCTGCTGCTGCTGCTGTTACCCTCACTACCATCATGTACAGCCCTCACCACCATCATGTACTGCCCTCACCACCATCATGTACTACCCTCACCACCATCATGTACTACCCTCACCACCATCATGTACTACCCTCACCACCATCATGTACAGCCCTCACCACCATCATGTACTACCCTCACCACCATCATGTACTACCCTCACCACCATCATGCTGGCAGGTGTAGGCGTGAGATAGCCTATCGATCAGGCGCTTCATGTATGTGTAGTTTGTGTGTTGTGTAGGTAGTTTGTATGCTGCTTGTGTGGTTGCTACTGTGTTGTATTTGGCAATATATATAAATTCTATTTCGCGTCTACTAAATTTTATTTATAAGACTAATTTACAAATCCAAATACAATTTTTGGCCCCCTTTTCTCCTGTTAGTTGTGCAATGCCTCGCCATGGTAAAATATTTTAAAAATTTGTTGTATAATATACTAAATATTTTGTAATATTCTATAATTGTAAATTTGTTAAATTAGGATGTGCCTGCGCCTTCCTAAAATCAATTTAAGCTATAAATGTAGATATGTAAATAAACAAATCATGATAAAGTTCCACTTAGGTACCGCCTTAGGATTCGGATAGCACGTAAATCGGCCGCCTATGTCCGCTTCAGCTCAGGGTTTTAATGTCAGCCTCTGGGAAGCTCGCTTGTTCGGTATGACTCGGCTCGGCCAACCCTTAATTCTCGTACTGTCAGGCGAGTATAAAGTCGGGAAGTAAGTTTTGATCAGAAGCAGATTTCGATCGGTTGACCATGCAGACCCAGAATATCTTTGCGCCGAATGTAGCGACTATCCAGCCGAAGCCTAGGCGGTCACCGATTTTTTTTTTTTTTTTTAAGGATAACCTATGCCGGTCTCTGAATTTTGATGAGATGATGAGATTGAAGGATATGCCGTCTTCTTCCAAGAAAAATAATGAAATCCTGAAATCGGAATGGCAGTGCGTGAGGAAGTGGTTGAATCTTGCTTACCTCAATTCTCATTTGATGCTAAACTTGTTCTAATAACTGAACTCCATTTTGACGCAGTTTTCTCAGACATACCATTTTCCGTCGTCAGAAAATGAAATTTGAAATTTTCTGGCTCTATTTTTTCATTTGGTGCTCATCCAATACCCTAGACTCTTCGTATAGTCTGATTCGGAAAACTCGTCACTGAGCCGGGACGTGATCACATTATAGTTACATTTAGTCGTTGCTCTTTCATTTATATCAACCCTGCACTTATTATCCTTGTCACATTTCTATTGTAGGCTTCCACAGGAAACTCCGGCGATTTTCAACTTGAAAGTGCGCATTTTCAACTTGAAAATGCTCATTTTCTCGAACATGTTCCTCCGCCGCACGTACCTAACTCCTACCCCTCGTGTTCAGATTGTTCGATGTGGGAGGCCAGCGGTCTGAACGCAAGAAATGGATTCACTGTTTCGAGGACGTGACCGCCATCATTTTTTGTGTGGCCATGAGCGAGTACGACCAAGTGCTACACGAGGATGAGACTACCGTGAGTGATGATACCGCCATCATTAGTGATGATACGTCATCATAAGTACTCATCATCTCTTATGTCACCATTATCAATTATCAATCTATCATCAGCAGAAGTTCCCCACCACTATTTTAGACCTCCCTGAACCCCAGCAAATTATAAGCGGGTCTGACTCAGCATTAGGTGCCGCCCAGGATTCGGGGTGCACGTAAATCAGCCGCTCATGTCCGCTTTGGCGGGGCTTGAAGGGCAGCCCTGAGCAGCTTGCACGCTCGGTGTGACCCGGCCAGGCCAACCCTTGTCATACTTTCAAGACCCACTTCTCATACTCTCAGGACACACTTCTCTGAATTTCAGGATACACTTCTTTTACTCTCAGGAAACACTATTCATACTCTCAGGAAACGCTCCTCTTAATTTCAGGAAACACTATTCATACTCTCAGGAAACACTTCTTTTACTCTCAAGTAACTATGAAGTCAGAAATATTAATTCTGACCAGAAACTGATTTCGATCGAGCGGCCAAGCAAACCAATAACTTTGCTCCGAGTGTAGCGACTCTTCGGCCGATGCCTATGTGGTCCCCAAATTTTGTTAAGGCCCTCCCACACCACCACCATTACAGGCCTCCCTAGTTTCTTTGCTCTTAGTGTAGCGACTCTTCGGCCGAAGCCTATGCGGTCCCCAAATTTTGTTAAGGCCCTCCCACACCACCACCATAACAGGCCATCCTAGTAACTTTGTTCTGAGTGTAGCGACTCTTCGGCCGATGCCTATGCGGTCCCCAAATTTTGTTAAGGCCCTCACACACCAGCACCATTACAGGCCTCCCTAACGCCCCCCTCTGCCCCCCAGAACCGCATGCAGGAGTCCCTGAAGCTCTTCGACTCGATCTGCAATAACAAATGGTTCACGGACACCTCCATCATCCTCTTCCTGAACAAGCGCGACCTCTTCGCTGCCAAGATCAAGAAGAGTCCTCTCACCATCTGCTTCCCTGAGTATAATGGTGAGTATCTTGTGTATTGTGCTCGCTATCTTCCCTGAGTATAATGGTGAGTATCTTGAATGTGATGGTGAGTAATGTGCTTCCCTGAGTATAATGGTGAGTATCTGGAGTATTGTGCTCACCATCTGCTTCCCTGAGTATAATGGTGAGTATCTGGAGTAATGTGCTCATTATCCGCCTCCCTGAGTATAATGGTGAGTATCTGAAGTAATTAATGTGCTCACTATCTGCTTTCCTGTGCATAATTGTGAGTACCTATCTTGAGCATAACGAGTAATGTGCTCACTATCTTCCCTGAGTATAATGGTGAGTAGCTTGAGTGTAAAGGTAAGCAATGGTGAGTATTCTGAGTAATGTGCTCACTATCTGAATTCCTGAGTATAATTGTGAGTAATGTGCTCATGATGTACTTACTTGCGAAGTCTTAGCCCATCAATTATTTGTCTTAGCCCAGCAAAACCCGGACGGTCTTTGAGGAACAGTTTATGTAGTCCAAGCCAACCACTGCATTGGTCTGGCGCACCGCGACGTCCTCACTCCATGCCGCCACCCCCCCGACTGTCCGGCAGTCGAGCTTACCGTCTTATATATACCGGCAACCCGCAAGCTCCGCGCCCCTCCCTAACTTTACCCTGAACCATTGCGTCTCCCATCTGATCTAATTACTATGACCCACTATTGGCCCTTGCTGTTGATCCGTAGGCGCCCAGGAGTTCGACGCGGCCTCTAACTACATCCAGATGTTATGGCCCACTATTGACCCACTTATGACCCACTATTGACCCACTTATGCCCCACTATTGACCCACTTATGCCCCACTAATGACCCACTTATGCCCCACAGGCGCCCAGGAGTTCGACGCTGCCTCTAACTACATCCAGATGTTATGACCCACTATTGACCCACTATTGCCCCACTTATGCCCCACTATTGACCCACTTATGCCCCACTATTGACCCACTTATGACCCACAGGTGCCCAGGAGTTCGACGCGGCCTCTAACTACATCCAGATGTTATGACCCACTATTGACCCACTTATGACCCACTATTGACCCACTTATGCCCCACTATTGACCCACTTATGC